TCAATTTTTACATCACTTATGATGCATAATTATATCAATTTAGAGGACCAAGGTGGTCTTCTACATTTTGTCATAAATCCTGTCTTGGTATTTCCATGGAAAGGCTGTTCTTTATCTCCTGATCTAAACTGTTTTTGTTTCCATCTCCAATTTTTCAGTAATTAATAGCACAGCTGCCACATTTGAAGGTGTGTTCAGTTGTATTCTCTAAGCACAACTTCAGGCAGACTGGCTTCTACATTTTGTCATAAATCCTCTCTTGGTATTTCCATGTAAAGGCTGTTCTTTATCTCCTGATCTAAACTGTTTTTGTCTCCATCTCTAACTTTTCAGTAATTAATAGCGCAGCTGCCACATTTGAAGGTGTGTTCAGTTGTATTCTCTAAGCACAACTTCAGGCAGACTGGCTAAACTATAGCCATTTCTGGTACTTTCATATTATAACTTCTAAAGAATCCTATCATATATATTTTTCTTCTGACTATCCATTTTTACAGAGACGAGTGTAACTTTGAAAATGATAATCTAGCTTCTAGTTAACCATATATGATTTTTAACATTACTAATGGATAACAAGTGAAATTATGAAAAAAATACAGCAAAAGAAATACAAACACTATAAATCATGCTTGACATCAAGTGTGATTTGAAACTAAGATTCTAAGAACAAAGACTAAGGTTTTATTCTTCAAATAATTATAACAGCAAACATTGTAACACATACTACAACCATGGCCAGTATACATAATAATAGCTACCATTTATTGAACACTCATTTTCTGAGGGCACTTACGAGCTTTACATGCGATATCTCATTTAATTCTGAAACCCAAAGTAGGTGTTTTTATTACAGCCATTTTATACATAAAGTAACTGAGGCTTAAGAGAGGTGAAGAAACTTGTCCCAGTTTTCACATCTGTTATTGAATGTCCTAGGATTTAAACTTAAGTCTATTTGATTTTAGCTTCTGAACTCTTATTCACTATATCACTTTGTTATTTGCTGAACATTTGATTAGGAGCTTCATATATGTTACCCCATTGTATCTTCTTCTGTTTTATTTTTTTTCCCCACTGTATCTTCTTAGCAGCCATATAAGATGGTTATTACCTCTTATCTTCCAAATGAGGAAACTGAGACTAGGGAAATTTACCTAACTTGCTCAATATTACACAACTAGTAGTTGGATAAGTTTGGACTGAAACCTAGGCCTGTTCATATAGGTCACGCATGCCCTTTCTGCTACGTAACAGCTTACCAAAAGACGGGAAGAACATCAAGTAAAACTTTTTGTAAAAGCTTTACTTGGTAATCGGATAATTAAATGTTGACAGTTAAAGTAATTAAAAATCAACATCTATATAACTGAGTAACATATCTGAGTATAACAACACAGC